CTTTCTCTCGAGAAGCCATAACGAGAGTTCATTGTAACAATTAACTGGTCGGTCGAAAGGCTCATTCGATCGAATACAGACTTGAAAAAAATATTCACGAAACTACTAGTATTGACCAAGATACTGTCAATCTGATAATCCTCTGCCAAGGCAATGACTACAATAACATCGTTGAAGGAATTACTCTTAACAGGTAGATCGGAATCTGTAAAAAAATCAGTCGATGGTGTTTGCGCCAAGGCACCCCTAATCAAAGCCTTATCTGCTAGCTTACCGAGAGTAATTTTCCAACGGCTGCACACAATTCCCCTGATCAAAGCCTTATCTGCTAGCTTACCGAGAGTAATTTCCATCTCCCCCCAAGATTGTTGATACTACTCTTGCAAATGAGGTTGGTGTTTTCTCTAACTGGCGCTCATTGAATGCTTCCCCGACTAGGACCTTCCCTGACTCTGGGTGGCAGCCCGAATGCTATGAACTCCTTGAGTTTTCCAGATCGGATCAAATTTTTTATCAGGCCAGGAAAAATCAGCATTCTTCTGTTTCATAACCATGGTCCCTATGGATTGAGAATTTCTTCAGATCCTGGAGAAAAACTCTGGTTTTCATAGGTGAGGCTTATACTATTTGTTATGGATGGCCTCAATGATCTCGACCATGGAGACTCTTGGAGTGATGTTTGCTGCCTCTTGATGGTGCGTACTGACCCCTCATGAAAATGAGTTGGCCCCTGATCACGATTCCTCATTAGACCTTCGCTATAAAGATTTCATCTAACCCCCCTATTATTGCGGGGCGGCCTGTTGTCTTGATAATAAGGATGGTTAAAAGGGCGTGAATCATCCTTCTACCTCCATCTATCATCCCGTGCAGCATTCTTTTGCAGACGACGACATTGACAACATTCTCTTCAACAAAAATGTATTTGTTGGGCATCTCCAATAATTTGGGTCCACCAAACTGAGATCGAATCAAAACCTTTCTCCTCTCAGTCCTTGGGTTAGAGCAGCCTATGCCACTCAAGGTTCTAGGTTTCGTACTTCTAACATCTCCCTCTGGAACCTAATAATATAGGAACACAGGCTTTCATCCTCCCTCTGTTTGATTTGTCGAAGGGCTTACGAGCTCTTCTTGGGTCTTCGAGCACTAACGAACTGAGTTAGGAACATCCTTTTGAAATCGGCAAAAGAGCCAATTTTTTCCGTAGGTAGTCTGTTTAACCATCTGAGGGCAGATTCTCTGAGTGTGTTGTAGAATAACTGACATTTCAACGTAACAGAAATTCTTAAGAGGGAGACCGTTGACTCAAACGAAGCGACATGATTAGTTGGATTGTTCCGACCATTGTGCGCCTATAACATAAGAATTTTAAACTTTTCTAGTGGACACATTTTATGGCAGGCAATGGGTCTCACCGTGCCTATTCTATTGTTTATTCGTTGATGTCGATCCAGCACTGCCTAGTACCAAGAATCTATGAATCTCTCAACTCCTGAGCCGCTTGGCGACCTTGGAGCTCAGGCTTCTCTTCCCAATGGTTTTGTCACCGCGAAGCTTGTTCTCGCCCTCCGAGCACAACTCGAGTCAAATCCGCTATCTAATCCCTTAACTCATGTACTTGTTGTTGAAAAACATCCCGAATATCTTCTGAATTCTCCATGTCTCCGATGTGTTTTCTTTCCCCATGTTGTGCTCTTCTTCTTGGTGGCGTGACTCCACGCTCACCGCAACTATTAAAATGTTGAATTTGAAAATATCTTATGGGTCGCACCCAAAGAATAGAACGTAAATCAGTGAAAGGAGGGAGACTAAACAATAACTTAAAATAGGTATATTGACCATTATTGACTGTTTTAGCTAAGATTGTATAACATTTATTCTCAGCATGACCTATTTATAGATAGAGGAGTGATGACCCTTAAAATTACATAGAGACCCCTATTTTGATAGACACCGAATGGGTTATTACAGGTATTGGGCTTTAGTGTGACTCAATGGTTTCTTGGAATCCTCAACATGACCTCTTGGTCCACTGGAATGGGGTGGTCAATCTTGTTGATTGTCTATTTTGATCGAATCGTCTAGCAACCGACGACCCGGATATGGCCAGTCGATCGGCTCCATATGTCGGCTGGATGTTGCCGGTTGGTCGTCTTGATGATGTCAGCCGGGGAAGAGTTAGTCGATCACCTTAATGACGTCGGGTTAACTCCGACTCTCGGTGAGTTTTCTGACTCTTTGGATTGATTGTCTTCAGTTGATGGTTGTAATTTGAGCTCCGCATGAATCACTTTTCTCAAGAGGGCTCTACATTGCCCCGCCACATCTTCTTTGTCCGTCGGATTCCTTTGAGATTCGTGTTGATAGGTTAGTTGTCTACAGATACAATTAATTGAAATCTTATTAGCATAGATATCTAGATAGCGTAGAATCAGTCAAACACAAATAATTAATAAGACTTTAGTTATCATGATAGATCTATTTTGTTAACATCTTTAGAGAGCCTTCTCTTTCACTTGAGGAAAAACAACAAATATAAGAGGAAAACTTGATTGAGTTTTAAATTGCCCCAATGCTCTAATAAACCTACAAATAAAAAATAACAAAATAACAGTCAAAACAAAATCAAACTAAAACCTATAGTTTATCCACACAAATTAAAGCCACAGAAATACCATCCAAAGCAACAAAAATCCCACAGAAATCAAAATGTCGAATGAACAATATACCACAAAGGACTTAATCATCCTCGGTCGTAAAAAAAGGAAAAAGAAAAACCTACCATATAACCGCCTCCAAAGCACTTGAAATCCACCAAAATCTAATCTAAAGCCGATTGCAAGAGAGACTTTTACATCCATTTCTTGAGCATGAAAAAAAATCAGCTCCAACAAACTATTCAACTAATATTTAATAGGCACATTTGGTAGAACTATGATATCTCCAATGGAAAAATAAATTGTGGACCAGATTTTCATTTTATGGTTTTTTTTTATCCCTTGCATGATTTCATCTCCAGTAATAACTGGAAAAAAATTAGTATGAAAGTCTGAGGTATGCAAACTTTGTGTTGATGTGAGCTTCGACAATGCTGCGGGATAATAATAAGATGTCAATAAAGATAAGAAAGAATGGAAGGCATTGATGTGGCGATTTGGTTGTTTTCCTACATAAATGCTGCATATTAAAAATATATTAATATTTTTATATTTCCACATAGTCCTCATGTAACTTTATTTTCATGCTTTTCATGTGGTCCAATTATTTCTTTCATTTTATGTGTTTGTATTCAAGCTGTAAGCACAAAAAAGTAAAAATAAAAAAGAGAGAATTGCCGTGCGTGCATGTTGAGATAAATTATCACAATCTTGCATAAGAATATAATAGCATCATACATTATTGCATATGTCGGCCTTCTCCTGTGTTAAAGAAGAAAGGTTCTGAAGCAAGCTAGGGGCAACCTTGGAGGTCAGAATAAAATGAGATAGCTTGTCGTTGAAGATTTTTTGGAGATTTGACATGAAGTTTATTCATAAGGTCCTTAAAATGTGGGGAGATAAAAATGAAGAGGCAAAAATTTTACATTCCATATTTCATATAACTATGTAGCTGATCATGAATGCTGTGTTTCTTTGCATATTCTTATGTAACTCTTAGTATTCATGTGTCATTTTATATTCTCCATAAAGTACAAGACAGTAAACAGCAATAAAAAGCTAGGTTGTATGCATCATAGTTTTTAATACAAAGTACAATAACTCTCTTTTATTAGCTTAGTTTGGGCTAGCTAGTTTTTCTTTTTTTCCTCTTCCTTTGGTAAGGTTGAGTTCCTCTAGTAAGGTTGAGTGATGCCCATCTTTTAAGGTGGAGGAAGTGGTTATGTTGTTACTTTGTTTTCTAGCAATGGTTTGTTGACCTTGTCACCCCAATCCTTTGGCTAGAATGGATTTATCTCCATTATTATCAATCTGTATATTATCCCACTATAGACATAGTCACATAGAAACGATTTTTTAAGACTTAGGCTTTCTTATAAGTGTTTAAAAGTCAAATAATATATAGATGAAATCCAATTGCTTGTCTCCACTTCTACATCAAAAAAATAGGTCAGCGATCATAAACTTATCAAGCCTCATTTATTTTAAGGCTGCCAAGCCTCATTCACTTGATAAAGACTTCATAAGCTATGTGTTCCACCATGAAAGTATTTTCTAGGGTTTAACTCCAGTATTAAAACCTTAATTTAGTTGTCTTTTAGAATAAAACTGGTTTCTTTTATTAAGCTATTTAGCGAAGTAATGTTTTTTTTTTTTTTTTTTTTTTTTTTTTTTTTATTCTCTTATATGAAGAACTACTAAATTTACAATAATTAAAAAACATTATTTTCCTAGCATTGCAAATTTTATCACAATGTAAGTCCCAAGCAACTTCAAAATCCAAATAAACAACATTATAAAATACTGGAGGCAGATGGAGCTAGATTCAGTAGTTAGGAAATTGATGTTAAACCTTTTAAAAGGTTTATAAATAATATATATTTCAAAATATTTGAAATAAGAGCAGCATTAGATCATCTTGTTCAACAACCACATTAAAATTCCAACCATCCAATCAATCTCAGATATGATATTTCACAAATAGCTGAGTATTTACTTTAAACTAGTAGGGAACCTACATGAATACATAAAGCTAGAGTTTATCACAGTCAATGTAGTGCTAATAAGCATAATGATTCTTCTAGGTTAGTTAAAGTTGAAAAACCTTCTTTTGATGGAATTCATAAACTTTTAGACAGACTACAATAAAAGAACGCTTTTCAAAGACATAAAATAAGATACTATCAATGAAATCAATTTATCAAAATGAAATTATTAGATCACGCTATGAAAAACAAACAATAGGAAAACTAGCATGCAAACCATATTATACCGAAGAAAAATTTTCAAGTAAATGATATTCCATTTAAAATATATAAATGCTAATTCGTCAAGGCTTATTACCTATCAAACTTATATCCATGAAGAAGAGACTCTGCAAGAATTGTCTTCGTGGATGTAGCAAGGCAGCCAAACATGGCAGCACAAAATCCAAAAATGTTAAAGCTGAGCTCTGTCACAGATGTCAAAAGAATTCCACCAACGATAGGTATCAAAGAAGTCCATATGTGCCATTCAAAATACTTTCTCCATATCAACCACTGCAAAATGACTGCTAAAAAAACATGATTTAGAAAAATTTGGTAGTAGTATAATGCATTTTTACTAATAATGAAAAGCTGAAGAAACTGCAAGAGATTAAGTTTCGAAGTAACCTGTTGTTGCAGGAGTGAAAGATTTTATTGTCTGCATAAAAGAAACTGGAATATATCGCAAGCTCACATTCCCCAATACAATGTTTATACAGAATACAAAAGACATAGGAAATATCCTTTTCCATCGATCTTCAGGGTCAACTTCAATGAGTGGCTTGATCTGAAGCACCCTTATAACAATATATGCACCAACAGTGGAGCATATGAAGTGCACACACGACACTGTCAGAGGAAACTTGAAGTCCAGGTTCTGCATTTTTAATGAAATTGAATTTAATAGTGATAGTCCAGAAGTTTTGTCCAAAGCATTAACCATATGGTCGTGGTAAAATACGAGCAAATCTGATGAAAAAGAAAACAGAATAGAGTTAACAAATAATGTTTGGTTACCATATTTTCAATTCTTGCTTTTGGACATGATTCCTGAAATTGAGAATCACATATTTTGGAAACATTCCAGCAACAACGAGCCTTTATGTCACTAAGTGGGGTCGAATACATAGATACATAAATCCTTTTTCTCCATTGTGTCCTATTGAGAATACATAAATCCTTGTTCTCCATTGTGTCCTATTGAGTGTCATATTTTCATCTAATTCTAATAAATTAAGATCATTTTTTATACAACATGCCCAAGACTTTTAGGTAGATCTCTACCTCTCTTAGCATCAGTCAAAACTAAAACATCTGCTCTCCTAATATGATCATCATATGATCAACTTTTAATGTGACCAAACCATCTAAAGCTAATCTCTCTAATCTTGTCCGCCACTGAAGCAATCCAACGCTTTACGGAAACATTCAAAAGTACTTATTTCAGTTATCTAAATTACTTGAGTTTTTTTATATTAACCATGCTATTAAATATTAATAACTAGGAATTAGTTAATAATATGATTAATTTCAACAGTTTTTAAACCACTTAATTTGATAATTAGCCATAACATAAATATTAATTGAATAATTAAATAGAGTATTTCTCATCATTTATTCATTAAGGCATAGAGATTAATTTAAATTTTAATTAAGATCATTAAATATTTTATTGCTTAATCAAATATTTGGCCAAAATATAATTATCTGATTGATTAATTAATCAAAATAATTGATAACTAACTATAGTTTAGTTACATATTAATTAAGATCAATAAATTTTCTAATTATTTAGCTATAAATTTTAGCCTAAAATAATCGATTATTATAGTCATTGATCATGAGTCATTCAGAAAAATTTGGAACTAAAGTAGTAAAGATTGAAATAATTAATTAATTCATGCCCAGCTCTTAAACTAAGATGATGCAGATTAATTACATATTAATTAAGATCATAAATTTTATTCGTATTTAAATATGTAATTTTACATAGAATAATTAATTGGAATAGTTATTCGCATTAATGAATTATTTAGGAAAATAAAAGTGTAATTAAGATTGTAATTTTAATCAATCAAGAAAACGCTAAGAGTATCTTGGCAGCTAACCAAAGCAGCAATATCACACAGGCCAAAAACAATGTCACGTATCAAGACAATACAACAAGATTTGGATTACTCATCATTCATAAATCTCAATGTAAACCCATGGATGACCGTCCTTCCCCCCAATATCAATGGAGAAAAAATAAGAATCTTAATTTGAGATTCTTTGATGAGTACGATGACCACAGCAATCAAAAATTCAAAAATCATCAAAGATTATTTAACTTAAAGGCCACTCAACATACCTATTTAGCTTAGTTTAATTTTATTATTTACAGAAATTTTAATTTTTTTAATAATTTACTAATTTTATTTCACTTTGCACCGGGACAAGTTATTAATCTATATAATAGTAGTTTATTAGCTCCCAAGGCATTTAAAACCTGGTTAAGTTTAAAAAAGAACCCTACAAAGAAGACCTCGTTTTGTACTTTTGAATTTATATAAAAAATTTATCTTTAGCTTGTGCGAATTTCATATGAAAAGCCTTGTGACTGCTATATTATTTAATGATGCATGGTAGCTGATCCTGTAAGGGTTAGAAATCTTTTCTTTCACCTACCTATTTCTTCCAGCACAATTTGTCTCTGCTCCGAGCTAGGCTCAACCCTAAATCACCGAACACCTCTAACCCCTTCAAAATTTTCTTATAAATTCCTCCCAACCCCTACAACTTCACAAGCCATTAAATCCTAATTAATAAAAAATAACTTAGTTGAAAGTACAAATAAGGGGAGAATTTTCCAGAAATTCCTAACTGCTAACATTTATCCAAAACATACAAAAACATTTCCAGTTGTTTCCTAACATCCCAAACTTTTAATCCAGAGTTTCCCATCACCTTTTTCATAAAGTAAAAATAACTCTGCCAAACCAAAACAGTTTCAGCCTTAAATCTGTTAAAAACCCCAAATACCCTTTTCCCCACTACTCACATAACCCTTCCTACACCGCCCCAAACCTACACAAAAAAAAATTGCTGCTTCACCCTTAATATTCCATAAACGAAGGTTGTGAAAAACGGACCTGACATCAAACCGGAAGAAGGAAACGTTTAAGTTTCATTAGTTCCACCGCGGTTGGGCCGGGAAAGGTTTAAGTTTCATTAGTTCCACCGCGGTTGGGCCGGGTGTTGAACCGGATGACATAGTAAATATAAAAAATAAATATGACATAAATAAAATAAAAATGACATGTTACACTAATTAAAAAGTGATCAAAATTGCATTATAAAACATAAAACACACAAAAAAAATAAATTCAATAATTTTAAATAATCTCATATTTGAAGCCAAAAAAAAAATATAGATCATTTTTTGAAATCTTGTATTTTTGATAATCTATAAGTAAAATATAGATGAGAGAAAATTAAGATTAATTAAAAACCTAGAAAATCATGAAAGCCACATCCACAACCTATTCTCTACATTCCTCTTATAATATCAAATATTACTATCCAAGGAGGATAAAATAAAACATTACATTCCTCTAAAGCACTGCTCCATTTTAATCACACAACTATATATATATATATATATATATATATATATAGTACATTTTTTCGTATAATAAATCAAATAAGCTAAAGTAAATATTAGCTTTATGCAAAAAATAATAATGATCATCCCAAATATACATTACAATTTTAATTTCATATACCCTCCAAATCATCCATGAATAAGAATGCAATTCAGTCTAAAAAAAAATATAATAAAAAAATAAAAGACTGGTTATTAAAAATCACGGCTGGTTCAACGGACTACCAGTTTGACCCTGATTTTCACCGGTCCAATTCAGGTTAATCAAAAACCAGTTATCTTTAGCATCTGAAAAGGCTACCTACCAGTTTACAGTTCGACCGGCTAGTCTGATCCGATTGAAACAATCTTGCCATAAACCCTAAATCATTAACTAAATATCTAACCTAAAAAGAGATTACTTAGGAATTTAATTAAGATAATTAAAAATTTAATTGTATTTAATTTCTAAATGATTAATTAAATAATTAATCCTATTAAATAAAAACAAATGCATATTATTATTTTTTAGGAATTAGGCATATTTTACCATATTAATTATATTTATTTATCAAATATAATAAATATAATTAAAGATTAACTTGAATTTCAATTTAATTGATCATTAAGTATTTTATTGAAATCATAACAGGGCAAAATAAAATTAATTAATTGATACAGATTAATTTGTTTTAAACTATTTAGTAAAGATAACTCTAGATTAATCACAAATTGATTAATATCATTAAAATTTTAATAGTATTTAATTATGTAATTTAACCTAGGATAAAAATTAATAAGCTACTAAAAGAAGAGGGATTATTGTAATCAAAACTGTAATCATTAATTAAATTCAAAAACAGCTTTATGTTTTTTCAGCAAGTATTTATTCAGTCTAATAAGGAATTAAATAAGAATTTAATTAAGATCATCAGATTTTTAATATCGTTCAATTATGAAAAATAGGCATGATAAAATTAACTAGCACATTCATAAATAACAGAATAAATATCACAATTAATTAGGAATTAAATGATCTAACTGAGATAAGAAAAAATTTAAAATATTTAATTATATTCTATTTAACTAAAAAAATTAAATATTCATAAGTTAAAACACAAATTTGTGTATGTGGTTAATAATTAGTTAATGATTATGATAGTAACATAGTCAAATTATAATTGGAGAGAAACATAGCCGCATATATTAAATGGAGCTTAATAAGATCTAAGTAAAACAAATATTACTTAAAAAAAATTAATTATGGATTAAAAACTTGATTAAACTATTAAATACATAATAAATTTATTTGTTGCTTTTCAGTCCCAAACATGGTTTCGATTTTCAGTTTCCCAAAACAACAAAAAAATTGGTAAAATACAAAAATAAAACAAAATCAAAAGAAAAAAGATGACAAATCAAAAACAAAAACAAAAAAAATCCAAATATGACCTAAATAAGTTTCATAGGGCTATATGAAAAGATCGATAGAAAGGGTAGGGAGAATAGATAAGGTGGGAAAGATAAACTTTCAAACTTGTAAACTACAACAGTAAAATGATTTGTGCTAATTTTCTTCTACAAATAAAAATTTAGTAGCACACAAAGTATGTAGGAGAACCTGCAGTTTGCATATTCAGTGATGGCAAGGCTTCCAATGTTTCTCGAATAGATAACGAACAGGGAATGTAATCATAAGATTAGTAAATTCAAACCAACGGTGTTAGTCATTGTTTAAAATTGTTGAATCTAAGATACATCACACTGTAATTCCAGAAAAAATAGCGTCGAGACTTACTCATCATAGTGGTTGGGGGGCGCATCACCTTAATTAGGTTGAGGCATGTGCCTCATTATATTAGAGTTTATTTTTTTCTTTTTCTTCCTATATTACATGATTCAAATACGAACCGAAGCTACATCTATCATGCGTAAGATCTCCCATCTCCCCAATTGAGCTTCTCAGTTTCACTCCCTACTACTTTAACTGCTGGTATCATCGTTTCGCTTGTTGCTTCGGCCACAACCACTTGCTCCTTCCACCACAGCATGCTCCTGCTCCAGTAGCAGCCATCAGCCATTCCACATCCTTATGCTCCACCAGTATCATTGGCGTTGCTAACTGCTATTTCTGCCATCATTGTTGTCATTGTCACCGTCACCAAATTATCTCATCTAACATCTACAAGATTTAAAATTTTTTATAGCTCTAAACCCTATTTTTTTATTTTCTTTGAATAAATATGAGTTCAAAT